ATGACGCAGTAGTGTCACCAAACGACTCAGCTGCGAGCTTGTGTGGTCATCTACTGATAAGGACGGAAACGAGGTGTTTTCCATGACCCCGAACATTGTTCAATAACTTTGTAGAGGGGAGATTATCCTTTTGCTAGTGATGCATATTGTTTCAGCGCGACAAATGATTTCCCTCAGATTGAAAAACAGAGTCGATCAACGGTAACTTCAAACGATGGACAGAGCGCACAGAAAAGCAGCGGATTGAGGAATTGCGAAAAGACAGAATGGAAATTGGAAGTTAGCCAAACCCTTATCAAAAGTTCTTGAAAGCGCAACATTTCCAGGAGAAATCATGAAAGGCTAAAAATTTCGTTCTCCTCAAGTCCGTCTGCGACGGGAGCACCATTTGCCTTACTTTATACCTCTTGGACCCTGAACACGAAACTGTTCTATAACATTAATTTCTGCGCAATGCCGATGTAAGACCTGCGAATCGCTCGATTCATTGGTACCGCGACGCGACCGCGTACTCTAGTGAGTAGAGCGAGTCGCTCGATTCGCCAAGTCTGACATCGGCCTAAACTGCAAGCATAATGAGAGTCGTGAATATCAATTTATCGATATCTGCTCGTATGTGTAAAGAAAAGCCAAAGGGAAAGATAGGAATCAAGTATTCACTTACCTTGTAAATAATATCCGGTCTTGTAATGGACAGCAAATCGTTATTTCCTTTTAGCGGTTTAGGATGATCTTTGAGAACCTGCAATCTACTTCTGATTTTATGCAGTGTATGCTATAAAACTATCAATTGGACATTCTTTACTCGGTCAGGTGGCCTTTGATTAAGCTTGGTCTCATTGCTTATATGAGATGGTGTCTTCGATCCATTAGTTTCGTATATTTTCTGTTATACCCGACATTAATCGCTTACCATTAGGCCAGACCGGAGGCAGTAATCACTCCATATGATATGTCTTTATGGCATTTTACAGCCGTGATTGCTGAGGTTACTTAAAGCAACAATCCAGGAACGAATTCGCGGGTAAGGACCACCTATAATGACGTTGCAGGTGAGAAGTTGGTCAATGGAGAAAGAAAAAGTAGAAAAAAACGTCGGGCAGGGGCTTAGACAGGGACTCCCCCTGCCGTTTAGGGAGACGTGTGTTGGACGAGTTGTCCGAACCTGCCCGTAGTACATGCGCTCCAGTTGACTGCTGGCAAATAGCCATGCATGCTTGCAAATACATAACTATTTGCCAGCAATCGAAATTGAAGCGCTTCAATTGCGTTCTTATGGAATCGACCTCATACAGCGCGGCGGTCCCGCAACGACCGCTAGTCGAGCAAGCGCTCTGCACAGCGTATGTTGGGCGATCCGCCTCTTTATGGGTGATCCGCCCCCTCCAAGAGGACTTCGACCCAGAGTCAACCCTGCGTTGCGCAGTTCTCAACGGCCACGTTGCGCAGTTTCGCCCGATTAGACACGTTCTCTCGCGCGAACATTCACACTCGCATGCTCGAGCCGTCTGTGTCTCCGCCCATACAGCGTGCGTTGAGGATCTCTCAACGTGCCGTTGCGAACTGCGCAACGCAGGGTTGACTCTGCTTCGACCCCTTCCAGCGCATTTTAGAGGTAGGTTTTGAAATTAAAGACATTTCCTATAAACTTTAGTTGGGCTGGGGCATGTTTTGACCGCCTAATGACCAAGTAGTTGAAACCCTGCCTGGACTGTTGCTTTAACGCAAACTGAATTACATTGTGAATTGATCTTGTTCACATCAAAGCGAATAGGAGACAAAAGGGTTTTTGGTATGTGACCAAAACCATTTGCTGAGTCTTAGCCCATTAGTCTACTTCTGTATTATACCCAACGATTTCCTCATATTTTCCACTCTCTCTACAGGTGTTTCTATGCAATGGATTCAGAATTCTGGCAACCCTCACACTTTATAAAACACTGCAAACGCCTTTTTGTCTGCGGCAGATGGTCCATCTTGTCCTACTTTTACTTACTGACTTATGCGGAAGAACGAAAACTATAGTACAAACCTACCAGACGACTAAAGAGCGCAAAAGTCTCGTTTTCATTTTCTTTTAATGCAAGAAGAAGCACAAAGACTTCCAAAATTCTTTAAGTAGAACTTCTTCCCCTTTAGCAATAAATATAGTGAGCGACGTCGCTAATGAGTCGCCGAACTTCAGAATTTGAAATGAAATTTTTGAATTTCTGTGAGGAAAAGTAGACGGTAGCCGGGTGTTATCAAAAAGACAAAAAAGACTAACAACTCGCTTGCGCGGCTTTTTTGGAGTCTTAAGTGCGGTACTGAGTTTTCGCTTCGCTCTCTTCAAGATAACAGTGCATTCATAACTGTCACTGCACACTTCATTTAATGTGAACTTAGGCATTAAAATTCCATTTTCAAATCCATTTTTCCTACCTCATTGAATGACGTTCCAACTCATTCATACAAAAACGTTGCCTTTTTATCAAAGGTTCATGCATGAAAACCTCCAAATTCTGCAGAACCAAAAATGTCACTCTCAAGTTGAATATGAATGATGAATTCGAACCATATGTGTTGGGCTGCCCATCCGAATTTCATCAAGGACCGCTCCTGTTACAGCACACATAGTACGGGATGAAAACCAGATCGGCAGCCAGGGCAACCACGCCTTTTACCCCTTCCGCATCCCTTCTTAGAGCCATTGATTTGCACCGCAACCACGAAACTCCTGCGTACTTGGAATATTATATATCTTTCCAAATCAAAAATGGTTACTGCAGTGTCGTATGTTTCATCATTTCCAACTTTCGCTGTTCACATGACATGGCAAAAGGACACAATGGGCTGCGTCAGAAAACAACAGCATGGAATGAACGCAGTGGAAATACATGCGAGTTCTTCAAAGCTGAAACCTTATTTGAAAACTACAAAGCCTCGTACGAGAAGCGAAAAAGCGATAAAGTTAAACGTTTGAAGCAAGTAGCTGGGGTTTTAAAATGGGAGTCAGGTTCGTGGCGGTTCACCACTACCAAATTATGGCTTTCAAGCGGATATTTCGAGAAGGATAAGGATAAGAGATACACCTCAGCCTAGATCATCCCTCTTGTTAAGTCAAGAAAGCACGGCATTCTATTGTATTAGGTACCGGCTATCCTTAGTGTCGCTTTTCTGAGTTCAGGAAGTTTTGGGGCCGATTACTATGGAAAATCAATATCTCAGAAAGTCCTTTTTGCTCATTAATACTGCGAAATATGTTGCTTATTGTTTTCTATTGTTGGTTCACAATTTAACTTTCCCCCAATTTTTATACTTTTTTGAAAATTCCTGGGTCCAGTGTGCAAATTCGCATGTGTGTACCAAATGCTTCAAAATTCTTGCTGAGAGCTGTAACCTTCGCGCCCACCAAACCAGCATTGCATTTGATGGAGGGAATACTACCATTTAAAATGCTCATCGCTTTTGCACAGTTTTCTCAAGTCTTTGGAGTGATGCCCGCAATCGTTATCAAAAAGGTGGCCCTAGTTAAATCAGTCGAAACGGGGCTGCACCAGTCTTACGCTTAAATGGTGTGACACCTCAGCACTGACTGATCGAATGATGGCACTCAAGGCTTTGAACGAAGTTGAAAAGAAGTGAAGGTCTAATAGATAATGGGTGGGACTTCATCGACCTGCTGCGCAGCAATGAGTAGTGCGTGCGTTTTTGAGATCACACAAAAGCATGCAAAAACGATTTCGGAAAGATGTCACCTAGTTGAGCTGGTCAAGGTATTAACTTCGTGCCACCATGACAGTGCACGACTCCTACCACTCAACCCTCCGTATACTTCTTTTGTCCAGGCCCTAACTTTTTAGCAAGTGAGAGGGATGATTTGTCAGATGATGTCAAAACCGACCTACCTCTCTTTTTCGACTCAAAAAATTCCTAGCTTTAATCGTACGAGGTTTCCACTCATACTGGTAAATGGGAAAGGTGCTAATGAGTCATTCGATGAATATGCTGTTTCACTCCCCGGATTCTGAATTAAAATATTGGTGGTCCGAAACTCGTGGTGAAAAAACGACACTAAGATATCCGGTTACCTAATATGTCGCACATTTTGAATGCGTTGGTTTGGCCTATAATGACTTGCGGGGGCCAGCCGATGTACAAGTCAGTGTTTTTATCCTCCCAGACAAGTCTGGTACCAATTAACCGACCGGAGGGATGGAAGGCTTGGTTGGCCCGGGCGACTCACGACCCAGGATTTGATCCCCGGACCGCTCGCGTGGTAAGCGTGCCACTTGAAACTACACCACTGTCGCCTGATATCTTGATGCCTAATGAATTTATTAGTTCACCTTTCATAACCAAGATACCGCTGAAAGAAGAGGCTGTTCAGAAAATAATGTCGTCAATCGCAGTACATTGAACTGACACACCTACTAGCATTTCTTAGAAATTCTAACAATTGTTTGTCCCAACGATAACGAAGGACGGCCAGCACCTCAGTCTGCTGTCCGTCGAAAGTTCCTCAACCATGGTTCAGTTGCCAAGGGGACCGTGTTTGAAAAAAAAGTTCTGGAGAGACATTGGAAGAGCGAAATTTTTGAAAGCAAAAGTCTTTTTGTGAAATTAAGAGACATTTTAAAGGACTTGCACACTTCATACTTTACTTTCGGGTTTACGGCTGGATTTTCGAATGGCCTGTGATGAACGAGGTCTATGAACACCATCGATTGTTGAAGGGGGAACGGGCGTGTTGGAGACGTCCTGAGGGAAAGTCTATTTCAATGGTTCACCCGGTTGAATTCGCAAAATGCTAATCCAGAAATGAACCCCTACGCACATGTGCAACCTAAGTAGCTGTGATTAGGATAACGAAAGTACAAAGTGGCACAGAATAGAGGAAAGATAGGGTTTGCTACAGACACACTACCATGTTGCAGTGATCACCAGAGCCAAAATCTCTGCTCTCAGAACTGTAAAAGCAGCATGAACCTCTAATCGAATGGCCTTCTATAGCATTAAATCAAATCATCCAGTATTGGGACTCAGCAAGAATGGAATGAAGAAGCGGGTATTATCAAGTACCTGCGGAGTACACCTCAAACATTTCATGAATATGTGACCTTTTATACGACTTTTAAACATGTTTTGATGCCATCTTCTTCGCTAGGCGAGTGACAGAGAGGTATCGAGAAGAGCATCGAAGTGTTATCTAACCTTCCTCGACGAGGGAGCGTTTAACTGCTACCGCAAATAGTACTATGGACGGCTCTCAGAGAACGGAACATTCCAGTACCTGATCTTCGAGGTAGGAGTTATGAACGCTGTTCATATGATGAAGGAATGGCTTTGTTTTTTTTTAAATCCACACGTCGCCGTTGAGGTACTCAATGGGTCAGCTCTGAGCCCATTCCTCCTTCTGCTGAGGTCATCCTCTACACTTAGATTAACGTTTTAGAGGCAGAATTCACGATGGAAAAGCAACCCATTTCAAATTAAGCCAGGTGAGTGGTACACGAAAGAAGGAAAACCATGAGAAACGGCCCAGAACCCGAGAAATGGGACCCCTTCCTTGCCCGTTGATTTGAGCATTGATGCGACTCTCATCGCTGTGCCCTCTTCAACACTACGCTCTCTCTCTGCTATCTAATCACTCGCCACGTATAGACCTGCGGCGAGTGATCAGATGCGGCGTGTGAGCAGATAGCCGGTGAGCGGCTCCCCTTACCAACTTAGTAGGCTTCGAAGAGGGTACAAAACCAATCAAGGATGGCCGTGATAAAAGCATCGAAAGAGTGGAGAACTTTTGATACCCTGGGAGCGATCTAATAATTGACGGTAGTGTGGACCAGGCAGTAAAGACATGATCAAGTGCGGCATGGGACGAAATGAAGGGGGTCTACTGCATTTCTCTACGAAGGAGTGCTCGCACGCTCAGAG